GATGTGAAACGGGTCCTTGACAAGATCAAGGACACCTATGCGAGGATGGCAGCGGCGGGCAGCGAAGTGTCGCAGATGCAACAGTGCACCAAGATCATCTCGGTGCTCGACAACTCGTGGGACAACCTCATCCCCACCCTCAACGTTCAGCAGGACAAATGGACGCCTGAGTGGCTACGGCAGCAGATTCTGCAGGAGGACTTCCGCAGACGCCACACGGGAGGTGGTGCTGCCAACAAAACTGCTGAGGGGTATGGAGCTGCAGGAGGCAGCAGAGGAAGAGGGGGAGGGAGAGGCCGAGGCCGTGGGAGAGGCTTTGGCAGAGGGAGAGGCCGAGGTGACTACAATGAGGGGCATGGGAGCTCTGGTGGCAGGGGGAGCACCCGAATGGAGGGTGCGTGCTGGTACTGCAAGAAGGCTGGACACCCGTGGTTCAAGTGTTTCAGCCGGCCTGAGGGATGGGCCCCTCCAGGCATGAAGCCGCCAAGTGGTGAACGTGCACGCGGTGGCGCTGTGCAAGGTTCAGGTGCACAAGGTGATGGTGCACAAGGTAAAGCCGACCCTGGGATGTTCCTCATGGTTGAGGATGTGCAAGGGAGTGGGGGTGATGTGGGTTCAGTTGGGAAGGTTGTGATGCACCCCCTCACTCACTGGGTGATCGATTCAGGTTGCACGAGTCATATGACCCCACGGGCAGATTTGCTTGATGAGGTAAAACCTCCTGGGAAGATCAAGTTTGTGGCTGCCGCTTCAGGTGCTTTGCTCCCTGTGATTGGTGTTGGGAATGCCAAGGTGATGGGAGCCAATGGAGAGCTTGTGGGGCTTGGGAATGTGCTGTTGGTTGAAGGTTTGTCCGCTAACCTTCTTTCTGTGCGCCGGCTGCAGAAGAGCAAGGCTGAAGTTACCTTCGGCCCAACCAGCTGCCGTGCAAAGCTTGGGAAGTTGCTGCTGTGGAACTTGGAGGAGAAGAGCAGCTGCATCAAGGACTTGTGGCAGCTGCCCATCATCCCTTGGAAGGGGAAACCACCAGCAACGGCAAAGGCAGCGGCAGCGGCTAAAGCAACTGCGGGAGGAGAGGAGACTGCACCAACTGCTGGGGCCCTGGATGCAGTCAAGAAGGTGCAGCAGCCACAACAGCCACATGGTGAGGTGCTTGCTGGTGTGGATGCGACAGCTGCATGGGCAAAGGCTTCATCTGGGAGTGGTGAGGCTGATTGGGAGACGTGGCATGAGAGGCTGTGCCATGTGAACATTCCTATGCTGCAGAAGTTGGTAAAGGATGGGTGCTTGAAGGGGCTGGAGGTGAAGGGGGGAGCAAAGGAGATTGGGAGCTGCCCTACCTGCCTTGAGACCAAATTCACGAAGTTTCCCTTCAGCAGCAGCACAGGACCAGCCAAGGCACCACTTGCACTAGTGCACATGGATGTGGTGGGCCCCACGAGGGCCCTTTCTCTCTCGGGCAGCCGCTACTTCTTGACGATTGTGGACGACCACACGCGTGCGGTGTGGGTGTACCCTCTCAAGACTAAGGGGGAGGTGGCAGCGGCTGTTCTTAAGGAGTGGATGCCGAGAGCACAAAGGGAAAGCGGACACAAGGTGAAGGTGATCCGCACTGACAACGGAGGAGAGTTCATCGGCGCTGATTTTGAGAAGGAGCTGAAGCGGAAGGGGATCCAGCATCAGCTCACAGTGCCTTACAACCCTCAGCAGAATGGCGTGGCTGAGCGGTTCAACCGGACCCTGCAGGAAGGTGCTCGCACTCTCCTTGGGCGTGCAGGGCTGCCGGATCCGTTTTGGGTGACAGCACTGCGGCAGGTCGTTGTTGTGAAGAACAGGGTGCTGGCAACTGTGGGGGACAAGCAGTGGGTCCCCTACACCAAGTGGTATGGGATTGCACCAGCTGTGAACATGCTGAGAGCCTTTGGGTGCATGGTGGTGTTTCATGTGCCTAAGGAGAAGAGGGGAAAACTGGAAGCTTCTGGGAGATGGGGTGTGCACTTGGGGCTTGCTAAGGATCACAAGGGCTGGCTGATTTGGGACTTGACCAGCCAGCAGCTGACCGTGTCAAGGGATGTGAAGTTCCTTGAGTCCTTGTACTACAAGGAGTGGAAGCAGCAGCAGCAGCAGAAGCTTCCAACGACACCGCTAATTGTCGAGGCCGATGAGGTGCAGCGGCCTTCAAGGCAAGTGGAGGTTTCTGTCTCTGAGAATGAGATCTCTGGGGTGACAGAGGATGGGGGAGAACCTGAGGTGGAGGAGCAGCAGCAGCAGCAACAGCAGCAGCAGCCGCAGCAGCAGGAGGAGCAAGGTGCTCCACAAGGTGCCGGACGTACGGCTGACCGTCCTAGGAGGGATGTGCGCCCTCCTAACAGGCTGACCTATGCAAGCCGTGGCAAGCCAAAGGTGGTAAGGGCTGGGAGTGTGGCTGAGCAGTGTGATGAGGATGAGATAGCACACTGCTACTGGGCAGCCGTCCCTGAGCCCAAGACGCTAGCTGAGGCATTGAGCGGGCCCGATGCTGAAAAGTGGAAGCAGAGTGTGAAGGAGGAGTATGATTCTCTGCTAGAGAATGAGACGTGGGAGCTGTGTGAGCTGCCACCTGGGAAGAAGGCCATTTCTTCCAAGCTGATTTTCAGGCACAAGTACGGACCTGATGGGGCGCTGACCCGCTACAAGTCAAGGCTTGTGGCTAAGGGGTTTCAGCAGACAAAGGGAAAGGACTTCAACGAGCTCTATGCTCCTGTGGGGAAAGGCACAACACTTCGGGTGTCATTGGCAATGGCAGCATACCGTGGATGGCGGGTGAAGCAGATGGACATCACCACCGCCTTCCTCAATGGGATCATTCTGGAGGAGCTGTACATGTTACAGCCTGAGGGTTTGGATGATGGGAGCGGCAGGGTGTGCAGGCTGAAGAAGGCCATCTATGGCCTGAAGCAGGCTCCTCGTGCATGGTACCACAAGTTAGAGGAGACTCTGCTGGCTGGGGGTTTCAAGAAGAGTGAGTGTGATCACAGCTTGTTCCTGCTGCAGGAGAAGGAGCAGTTTCTCATGCTCCTGGTGTATGTGGATGACATCCTGCTCTTCTCTGAGTCGTCTGCAATGATTGAGCATGTGGAGGAGATGCTGGAGATGCAGTTTAAGTGCTCCAAGATGGGAGATGTGAAGTACTATTTGGGCATGCATGTGGAGAGGGACCTTGACAAGGGAGTGTTGAGGTTGCACCAGAGAAAGTATTGTGAGGGGCTGGCTGAGAAGTATGGGCTGCAAGATGGAGGAAAGCCAGCCACCCCACTGCCTTCGGGGTTCACTGTGGAGCCCTGTGCTGAAGAGGAGGTGGTGGGTGAGAGTGACAGGAAGCTGTTTCATTCCATGGTGGGGGCACTCAATTATGCGGCTAACCACACGCGGCCTGACATTGCCTTTGCTACATCCAGGCTTGCAAGTGTGGTTTCACGCCCCAGTCATGAGCAGCTGGAAGCGGCCAAGAGGTTGGTCCGCTATGTGAGCGCTACGGCATTAGTGGGCTTGGAGTACAGTGCTGTGCGACAGAGGCTGCAGAGGGGTGCAGCTGATTTGGGCAAGGGGGAGATGCTCCTGACCTGCTACACCGACGCTAGCTTCAACTCTGTGAAGGCGGATGGCACCAGCATTGGAGGCTATGTGTGCCTGTTTGGAGGTGGTGCTGTGAGCTGGCGCAGCAAGAAGCAGAACGAGGTGGGGCAGTCCTCGTGTGAGACAGAGTACATGGCTCTGCATCATGGGGCAAAGGAGGTGGTGTGGCTGAGGCGTTTGTTGGAGGAGATCGGAGTGTGCCAAAAGGATCCAACTGTGATTTTCTGTGACAACGAGTCGGCTGTGAAGCTTGCTAAGAATGCTTGCCTTCATGGGCTGACGAAGCACATCAGGCCTAAGTGGCATTGGGTGAGGAGGCTCCTGGACAAGGAGGTGCGGCTGGAGATTGTGAAGACCCATCAGCAGGCGGCTGACATTCTCACCAAGCGCCTGGCTGAATCTGAGCATTGGAAGGGCATGAAGCTTGCTGGGATGAGTGTGCATTGAGGATGCATGCTTGAGCTATGGCATGTGGGATGATGGTTGGCAGCCAGAGGGGGAGTTTGTTGAGTGATGCTACCATTCGCATTCACGTCTGTCTGCCTCCCATCATATGTTCGTGCGTTGCATGCGTGTTGTGAGTGTGTGCAAGAATTTGTGTTTTGTGCGGTTTGGTTTTTCTGAGTGTGTGTGTGAATGTTATTTGGCTTGAGCAGATATCTGAAGTGACTCCTCTGCTCAAGAGCTTTCCGAGGAACCAAGTATCGCTTCAATCGGAGCACGAACAAGAAAGTTACGAACGTTGGAGTTCGTATGCTTTTGATATTTGGTTGTGGTGACTATGGGAAGTTGTGGGGTTGACTCAATATGGGGTACAGACTTTTGGGGGTTGGGAAATTCGTCTTTTCTACTGTAGTTGCTGCCAAATGGTTGGGAGAAACCAAACCAGGTTGGCAAGTGTGGCCAAGTTGGGTTGAGGTGGATTGTGGAGGTTGGGATAGTGACAAAGGTCAAAGTTGGGTTGCCTATGGGGAAGGGAATTGTATGGCATGGGGTTTCCTTGGTTGGGGACTCTCTTGGGACCTTCCCTCTCGTCCTCCTCATCCCCTCCTACCTGGTTCTATTGCTACTCTAACTTTCTTGTGTGAACTTGTGAGATCATTGTGATTGAGTTACGTTTTCTATGGCAGCATACCCCCTAGTGCGCCGAAGTTCATAACTCGAGTTATACTCCATATTCTGATACTATTCAAATTGGGAAAGATAGCCACGGTCAAGGGCTACAGCATACTCGAGTTTGAAAGAATTCTAACAGTGGACCTTTCGTCGACGACGTTTCTTGTGACGACGACTTTTCTGTCCAGAATTGTAGTTGACGATTTTGAGATATTTCAGCCCCTAATCTTCATAGACTCCGTCCTTAATCTCTAACACACTTGCCTGTACTAGCTTTGCCACTGCTCCTCATTCAACTGCCCCTGCCCCTGCCCCTGCCCCTGCCCCTGCCCCTGCCCCTGTCCCAACTCCTGCTTTCCCTGCTGCTGCGCTGCCACCTCACCGCCTCCCCCTCTCACACTTCCACCATCTGCCATCCCACACCCATTGGGCTGCACTCCTCCCGCCCCCTCCCCGCGCTGCCCCTCACTGCTGGAAATATGTGCCCCATAACTCGGTGGGGGCTCGCCCTTGGGTATGAATCCGGGATCAGTGTGGTATGTGCTGGGGAGATTGGGTGAGGGGGGAGGATGGAGACGGGGACAGGGGGAGAACAGATTGCACTCCACTTGCCTCCTCCCCACGCTGCCTTTCACTGCAGGGAATATGTGTCCCATAACTCGCTGGGGGCTCGCCCTTGAGTATGAAACCGGGATCTGTGTGGTAGGTGCTGAGCGGTGGAAAGGTGGGTGGAGGATGGAGGAAGGGACAGAGGGAGAAGGGACTGAGCTTCTCTCACCTCCTCCCCGCGCTGTCCCTCATTTCAGGGAATCTGTGCTCCATGACTCGGGGGCTCGCCTTTGGGCAGGATTCTTCACCTTGCATACAAGGTGCCTTGTCAGAGCAAGCCTTGGGGCGCCTCGCAAATTTTGAGGTGCCTGAACGAGGGACCGCGAGGAGTACGATGGATCATTTACACGGTGCCTTACCAGAAGCAGCGGAATGCCATGGATCGGAAATTGAATGGAGCGAAAGCGTTGAGAAATGGAGAAGCACGAGTGGTGCTGGTAGAGCTCACAGGAAGTAGAGTGGGAAGACAACAGCAACAGAGGCGTGAACCATTGCACCGAGCAACGCTGAGACGCCTGGATAGCACAGGGGAAAGGGGAAGAGAGGGGGGACAGAGGCGAAATGAGGCTTGAGTGATAGGCGATTGGGCTCACTGGAAGTGTGGCGGGAGAACTAGATCGACAGAGGCGGTGCATAGGAGAATAGAGGTGTCGTGAAACGCATGTTGGAGTGAGAAGGGGGCATGGATGGAGGCAGGAAGGGTGGGTGGGTATGCGTGTGGAAAAGGGTTTTTGGATTGGATGGAACAATGTAGTTGCAGATGATGTGGGTATCAGGCATTGGCATTTTGAAATTGTCACACGTGTGTGTGTGCGACTCACGGTAGCGGAGGAGAAACAAGAAGGTGCCATAGGCGAGGAGGTTGATGGCGGAGGTGAGGGAGGGGAAGACAAATGGACGGCGATTGGCGCATTGGGAATCAGCATGCTAACACCTGCAAGAGTGTGTGTGTTGTGTGCTACTCACAGTAGCGGAGGAGGAACAGGAAGGTTCCATAGGCGAGTAGGTCGATGGTGGGGATGAGACAAGGGAAGAAGGGTCGTGAAAAGATGATGGTGCGAATGAGCGTGCGTGTGTGTGTGTGTGTGTGTGTGTGTATGTGTGTGTGTGAGCCCGCACGTGTGTGTGTGCCACTCACGGTAGCGGAGGAGGAACAGGAAGGTTCCATAGGCGAGGAGGTTGATAGCGGAGAAGACAGAGGGGAAGAAGGGTCTTGAGTATACGATGATGAGAGTGAGCATTCTCCCCAGCAGTATCCAGATGGTGATGGGCGCGACTGGGATGGTGGGGAGGGGATGAACATGCATAAAGACAGATGAAGGCACCCATAAGGACATGAAGGTTGGGAAGAAGGGCCTTGAAGAGATGATGGTGAGCGTTCTCCCCAGCAGTATCCAGATGGTTATGGGCGCGACTGGCAGGGGATGGTGGAGGGGAAATGAACATGCATGCATGGCATGGCATGGCATAGCATGGCATAGCATAGCATGGCATGGCATAGCATAGCATGGCATGGCATAGCATGGCATAGCATAGCATGGCATGGCATAGCATGGCATGGCATAGCATGGCATGGCATGGCATGGCATGGCATAGCATGGCATGGCATGGCATAGCATGGCATGGCATGGCATGGACAGACACGTGCATGGACAGACACGTGCATGTAGAGACGCATGCAAGCACGCAGGCAACGATGTGAGCAGGCATGGACACATGCATGCACACATGAAGGCACGCACAGGAACGCATGGATCCATGCGCATGCACGCGTGGGGATACGGACAATTGGCGCATTTGCAAGTCTCATGTCAGCAGAATCAGGGAGACGAAAAGGAAGCGGGGGAGGGAGGGGGGTGGAGGTTTTTTTTTTAGCTCTCCTACGATGTACGTTGCTCCACGCACGCCTACAGTCACACGCGTGGGGATACGGACAATTAGCGCATTCGCAAGTCTCATGTCAACAGAACCTTTTGAGACGAAAAGAAGAGGGGGAGAGGGGGGAGGAGGGGGGTGGGGGGGGAGGGGGAGGAGGGGGAGAGGGAAGGTGGGGGGGGAGGGGAGGGGGTTTGAGCTCTCGTACGATGCACCTTGCTCCGCGCACGCCTACAGTCACACGTGCATACTGACGTGAACATGCGCCTGGATTGCAATCGTTAAACGCACGAACTCAGCAGCCAAATAATGTAGCATTGATCCGCTAACAGCAGCATCGTTCCGTTAGTACCAGCAAATAGTAGCGTCTCGGAAACGGTTCCTCGTTTGCATGCCTCTACTATCCCCGTCAGCATCAGAAAGAACCACGCCGGCAGGATCCATGGCAGCACGAACGGCCACATGGCTCGCAACGAGGCCGGCAATATCGAGGACAGCAGCCTCTTCATCCTTGCAAGATGCTATACGCTGAATCTGAGCAAGAGCCAAAGGGAGCGTACAAAGCAACAATGGCGGATCTGGAGGAACAGTTGAAGAAGTCAGCTGGTAGGAGGTGGAAGATCAGCTGCACGATCGGGAGGAGAAGGAGGAGTGGGCGGAGCGCAAGCAGCGGATACCGGGAGAAATCCTAGACAAGCACCTGCTGCAAAAGCCAGTGAGAATGCTGGAGCTCTTTGGAGGATTGGGTACCGGACTGGCGGACGCACTCAAGGCAGGTTGGGTGATCAAGCGATGGGTCTACGTGGAAGCCAACCTTGTCATCCGTCGCATGGCGCTCCATCATGCGCAGCTGCTGAAGGCCGCCTACCCAGCACTGATCCTGGAGGGAGCCATGGAAGGAGATTGGCGGGGGTTGGTAAACGACGTGAAGCAAGTGACGAGCGAGCACGTTGCGAGATGGGGGAAGATCGATGTCCTTGTGGCCGGATGGGAGTGCCAGAGCGTATCCTGGGCGGGACTTGGTCTGGGGCTGGAGGACTCCAGAACAGCGCTGTTCGAAGAACGCTTGCGGATAATGAAGACGGTGAATCATCAGCATGGGGAGTACTTGTATCTCCTCAATAACCTGGACTTCGCAGCGGATCCTCGGGAGCTGGTGCGGGAGATGCACCTACGAGTAACCTTGGAACTGGGGGCAGGCTTCATGCTGGATGCCGCATAGCTGGGGTCCCGAGGGCATCGCTCGAGACGTCACTGGAAGAACAGGATATCAGAAGGGAAGCTCCGCCTAGAGTTGTCGAAGATGGAGCGGCCCCAAGCGCGCTACGTGAAGGACATACTGCAGCCGTACCGTCGAGAGGCCCCGGTAATGCATCCGGATCACCCGTCACAGTATCCCTGCAACGAGCCAGGTCTGCCGAGGCAAGCATGGCCGACGCTGGTGGCGTCGCCGGCTCGTATGCGTTCCGAAAGAGAACGGGTAGCCAGGGCCGGGAATGGTCTGCGATTCCTTCAAACGAGACTGGGAAGAGCCCACAGCACTGGAGCGGGAACTAGCGATGGGATTCATGCCAGGCGCGTCCGAGGCAGAGGGAGTGGCGGAGTGGGAGCGAAGGAGGGCAATTGGGCAAAGCATGGACGTGCAAGCCATGGATTGGCTCATGCATACCGTGGAAGTGCAGTTGCTGCTCTGGGAGATGGATGTAAAGGTCGAGCAGAAGGCGAGCTGGGCGCCATGCAACGAGGAGAACTAGTGGCGCTACGAGCGAGAGAAGTGAAAATTGAACGAGTTAATCGAAGCAGAGGATGAAATCCGGCGGAGCGGCTGGCCGCCAAGTGCCTTGAGGGACGGGGGGCAGCGCAGCCGCACAGCGAAGAAAAGCTGCACGCAGGCGTACACGGTGATCGAAGCCCCCGAAGAGGCACGTCAAGACGAGAGACCCGCAGAGGAGGTGCCGGAGGAGCCAGTCTGGACCGTGGGGGACGGACTCACGGAAGCAGAGAAGGAAGCCCTGAAGGAGGTGTTGAAGGCGCACAGGGGAGCCTTTGCATACACACTGAAGGAGTTGGGGAAAAGCAAAGTGGGAGAACTGAGGATTGAGCTCACGAGTGAAGTACCGACGTTTCAAAGGAGGAGGAGGATGTACCTGGCGAATGAAGAGGTGTGCAAGGAGAAGTGCCGCGAGCTGCTGGAGGCAGGCCTCATCCAAAGGTCGACCTCGGAATATGTGGCGGCGACGGTGGTGGCGGCCAGAAAGGACGCGACGGGCGAAGTGCTGTCACGACGCATGTGTGGAGATTACTGCGACCTGAACAAAATCACCAAGGCGGACATGTACACCATGCCCACGCCCGAAGAAATATTCGACAAGCTGGAGGGGGCGGTGGTTTTCAGCACGTTGGACCTCGGGCAAGGATTCAACCAGATACGAGTCCGACCGGAAGACATGCACAAGACGGCCTTCCACGGAGCCGATGGGCAGTACGAGTGGAAGTTCATGCCGTTTGGCATGAAAAACTCGTCTGCCATCTTTCAGCAGACGATGGGCACGGAGTGATAGAGGGATAGAGTGCGCTGCATGCTACATACATGACGTCATCATCTTCAGCAGGGACAGCGCCTCGTATGTGAAGGGGTGCTGGGGGCAATCCAGGCAGCTGGACTGACGTGCCATCCAGGCAAGTGCCGCTTCGGAGAGAAGACGGTGAAGTACCTCGGCTTCGAGGTGTCAGAGGGAACGCTGAGCGTGCAGGAGGCGAAAGTGGCGGTGCTGGACAAGGTGAAGAAGCCAAGCGATAGGAGTGGACTAAGGGCCATCCTGGGCTTTCTCAACTACTACAGGAAGTTCGTCCCGAACTTCAGCAAGAGGGCAGCACCACTCAATCAGTTGCTCAAGGAGAGCAAGACGTGGGCATGGGGGCAGGAGGAGCAGAAAGCGATGAAGGATCTGCTGCAAGGAGTGAAGACGGGCCCGGTCCTGGTCCTGCCGTGTAAAGACCTACCATTCTTATTTTACACAGACTGGAGTAGTCTTGGGATGGGAGCAGTGCTGTGCCAGCAAACGGAGCGGGGGGAACGAGTGGTGGCGTTCGCCAGCAGGAGCTGCAGTCCGACAGAGGCCAAATACAGCTCATACGAGGGGGAGGGGCTGGCGGTAGTATGGGCAGTGAACCAATTCCGTGTGTTCTTGCAAGGAAATCCATTCACGCTGATCACCGACCATCAGGCCCTAACGTGGCTCATGACAAACCAGACACTCACAGGCAGGAACGCCAGGAGGGCCATGCAGTTACAGGAGTTCGACTTCAAAATACAACACCGTCTGGGGAAGACGCTCCATCATGTGGATGGGCTGTCGCAGAACCCACCGCCACCAGAACAAGCGGAGGGAGCCACTCCAGCAGCGTGCTTGGTGGCGCTGGCGGTGGTGGGCTTGGGAGAGAAGAATCGAGGAGGCTACGCCAAGGGACCAGAAGACGTCTGGCAGGACGAAGAAGTGCTGCATTGGGTGAAGGGAGAAGCCGGAGAAGATGGGGATACCTCGGACCGCGCGCGGGCCCAAGGGCAGCACTACCGCTGGTACCAGAAACAGTTGCAGATCGAGACGAAGGAAGGATGGAAGCTGGTGCCACCACCAGAACAACGGAGGGCGCTGATTGAGAAAGTGCACTCGCAGTTGGGGCATTACGGGCACGTGCGCACAGCGCAGCTGCTGGCGACTGGGTGGTGGTGGGCGGGGATGCAGAAAGAGGTCAGAGAGACAGTGGAGCAATGTGAGGCATGCAGCAGAAACCGGGCGCATCTGGAACAGGGCAGGCAGGAGCTGTAATCGCTGCCAATCCGAAACCTAGGCTACAGGTGGTCTTTGGATCTGGCCGAGGAACTACTATTGACGCGCAAGAACAAGCGCTATATACTGGTAATGATTGAGCATGTGTCCAAGTGGGTGGAAGTGCGGGCATTGAGCAGCAAAAGCCTGGAGCTGATAGCGGAGGCGTTCACGGACCAAGTCCTGACAAGGTTCGGAGCGTGCGGGGAGGTCTTAACATATCAAGGGACGGAGTTCAAGGGAGCCTTCGACAGACTCCTGAAGGAGGTGGAGATCGTGCATCGACGCACCTCGCGGTACCACCCGCAGGTGGACGGAGTGACCGAGCGGATGGTGCAGACGATAAAGAGAGGTCTGCGCGCGTACGGGGAGGAAAGGAAGAGGAACTGGGATGAAGATCTGCACTGGGTGGCAGCAGGGTATCGCTTCAGCAAGCAGGCAGCCCTGAAGGATCTATCCCCCTACTATCTGTTGTTGGGGAAGGAACCAGTCCTGCCCGTGGGAGCCCCGAAAGTGCTGTTGGAGGTGGTCAAAGCTGGGAATCCCGAGGCTTGGGCTGCACTAGCGCATTGCAAAGCTGAGTACATGAAGAAGCTACTGCCAGCCGCCCTGGAGAATCTGCACATAATGCAGCTGCGGGACGCCCAGCGCTACAAGCAGAGGCTGGGAAAGCAGGGTGTGGCACGGGGAGCAGAGGTGGCGAAAGGCACCGAGGTGTATTTGCGCAAGGCGAAGAAGGATACACTGGACATAGGCTTGACAGCTGAGCGTTGGAAGGTGAAGGAGGTGCGCAGCTCCGGAGTCATGGTCCTTGAAGCAGAGGACGGTGAACAGCGAGAGGATCATATTACCAATGTGGCCAAGGCAAAAGGGAGCAAGTTGAAGGAAGTTCCTGAAGACCCGGGGCAGGAGCGAACCGGGTCCCGGAAGGGGGCAAGTGGGTGAGTGAACCGGGAAGATGAAGTGGATGAGATGGGTGATAACGGGCTAGGTGTGCTAGGGGGAAGCAAAGGAGGGTCAGCTCTCTGAAGCAGGGCGAGGGAGTACAAGGGAGCAAATGGAGCAGAATTGAGAGCGGTCACGAGCAGAATTCAACAGCTGTCACACTTCTCACGGAATAGAGTTCAGTGATAAGTGTAACAAAAGTGGTGTAGCAGAGCGGGGTGAAAGAGTACCATGGGAGGGCAGCGGAGTTCCGTATAACGAGTGCCGAAGCCAAACATGGATTGATGGTTGGGTAACCAGGAATGAGAAGGCGTGGTGAAGGCGTGTGGTGCGAAGAAGCATGCAGGCGAATCGCAAGGAAGAGGGTTTCGAGGACAGGTGGCACAGGGGTCCCCACGAGGGTTTGTGTGGGAAGTGTGCGGTGGAAATTCATTCTTGTATATAGAGTGGGCTGGTAACCGTGTGATTGGAATGCATGTACATAGAATGTGTGTTCGGGATCCAGAGGGCAGGCACCGAGTGGCCTCAGTGGCATTGGTTGTCGCCTTAGGTCTAGGCAGGCACTTTGCATTGTATGTAGAAGCCTAGGCCTATCTGTTCTGTGCTTGTTTCTTTGTTTCCTGCTCGAGTGGATATTTGTGCCTCAACTACCTTCCTAGTTAGGCCAACCCAATGCCGGAACCTGTCGAGGAAGTGGGGGATTTTTCTGTGAGTGGACCGGGAAGATGAAGTGGATGAGATGGGTGACAACGGGCTAGGTGTGCCAGGGGGAAGCAAAGGAGGGTCAGCTCTCTGAAGCAGGGCGAGGGAGTACAAGGGAGCAAATGGAGCAGAACTGAGAGCGGTCACGAGCAGAATTCGACACTGGACAGGTAGAGGAGCAAGGGACTAGACTTGAGGGGGGGCTGGGAAGGTAGAGGAGCGAGGGACTAGACTTGAGGAGGAAGGAGAGTGGAGGGGGAAAGGGGGGGGGGGGGGAGGGAGGGGAAGAGGGGGTGCTACCATGGTATTTGTCGGTATCAGATGAAAATGTACGCGATGTCTGAAATTTCAGATGAGATATAAAGCCTGGTAATTTATTTCAAATGTAATAAAATCATCCGTCTGAAAGATCAGATGGAATGGAACATAATCGCTGGTTTGAAAATCGGATGAAACAGAGTACTTACTGTAGGTCTGATTTTCAGACCATCAGACCAATTTGGTCTGATAACGGGAGCCCTGTTCCTCACTCACCTCCACCCATGTGTTCTTACAGCTGCAAATCAACTAGTCATCATCCCACCCGATGGGACTACCACAATACAGTGCAAATTGCAAGCGAGCGCCCTTGCTTCGGCAATCCTAGTGTGCGATACTGCATTGATGATGTGTTCAACACATGCAACTCTACCCTAGTAGGTAGTCAGCACTGACTGGTCCATGCGAAGCTACCCTTGCAATGCAGACCCATCAGTCTATACTGAGTACACTCTGGTTATACCACTGAGTTCCCCTCTACACCCTCTGCCCCTAGGCTACCGTGGTATTATTTTCCACTGCTGCAACCCACTCACTCCCCTATCCCGCACTAACCTTCTAGCAAATGCCTCCACATGCACCATCATCTGCCCCGCCACCATCATCTGCCCCGCCACCATCATCTGCCCCTCCACCATCATCTGCCCCTCCACCACCATTTGCCCCTCCACCATCATCTGCCCCGCCACCATCATCTGCCCCGCCACCATCATCTGCCCCGCCACCATCATCTGCCCCTCCACCAAGATTTTCCGCTGCACCTCTCAAAGTTGCTCCTGTCCTGATGCACCTTCATCTGCACCGTCCCTGTCTAGGCTCCTCAATTGTCAGTTCATCAGTGCATCGGTACATCCATCCCTCAATGCAGCGCAGAGCAGGCTAATCTTTGGAGCAAGCAACTGGTGAGCGTAGTGAGGTGGTCAGTGCAGGCAGGTGAGCTCCTCCACCTTCTTGCAGAGCTCGTCCAGAGGCACCTTCATGTGCTCCGCCACCTCCACCATGCGCTCCCTCTTGAGGTCCAGGAACGCCTCCACCAGGTCGCCGTCGATGAACGCCTTGCTCTCCACCGTCTTGCGCTCGTTGTGGAAGCTGCGCCACTCCGCGTGTGACAGCCCGCCCATGCCCTTTATCACCTTCGTTAGGCACACCTGCAGCTAAGGGGGGGGGGGGAGGGAGTGGGGGAGAGGAGGAAAAGGGCAGGGGGGCGAGAACAATTTGTTAAGCCATGCAGCCAAGATGAGCAAAAGTGAGGTGCTAGTATTGAGGCATCTCCGAAGTGAAGGCAAGTGATGGTGAGAAGTGGCAAGTGATGGTGAGAAGTGGCAAGTGATGGTGAGAAGTGGCAAGTGAGAGTAAGAAGTGGCAAGTGATGGTGAGAAGTGGCAAGTGATGGTGAGAAGTGGCAAGTGATGGTGAGAAGTGGCAAGTGAGAGTGAGAAGTGGCAAGTGATGGTGAGAAGTGGCAAGTGAGAGTAAGAAGTGGCAAGTGATGGTGAGAAGTGGCAAGTGATGGTGAGAAGTGGCAAGTGATGGTGAGAAGTGGCAAGTGATGGTGAGAAGTGGCAAGTGAGAGTGAGAAGTGGCAAGTGATGGTGAGAAGTGGCAAGTGATGGTGAGAAGTGGCAAGTGAGAGTGAGAAGTGGCAAGTGATGGTGAGAAGTGGCAAGTGATAGTGAGAAGTGGCAAGTGATGGTGAGAAGTGGCAAGTGATGGTGAGAAGTGGCAAGTGAGAGTGAGAAGTGGCAAGTGAGAGTGAGAAGTGGCAAGTGAGGGTGAGAAGTGGCAAGTGATGGTGAGAAGTGGCAAGTGATGGTGAGAAGTGGCAAGTGAGAGTGAGAAGTGGCAAGTGAGAGTGAGAAGTGGCAAGTGAGGGTGAGAAGTGGCAAGTGAGAGTGAGAAGGGACGACGACCGCGAGAAGAAGAGGCGAGGGATAGCAAGGCAGCCGCACCTGCACGCGGTGCAGGAAGGAGAAGAGGTCACCTGCAGGCGGTGCAGAAAGGAGAAGAGGTCACCTGCAGGAGGTGCAGGAAGGAGAAGAGGTCACCTGCAGGCGGTGCAGGAAGGAGAAGAGGTCACCTGCAGGCGGTGCAGGAAGGAGAAGAGGTCCTGCGGCAGCGAGGCAACGACCCCGATGGCGCCGCTGACAGTGCCAAAGAGCAGCGTGAGGATGTTGGCCGTCTCCGAGTCTGGTAACCTCATCACCAGCGACCCGTGGCGGAAGCAGGGGAACAAAGTACAGTCGCGGCCGCACAGCGCCTCCAGCACCAGTACCGACAGCTCCAGCAGGACCAACGCCAGCACCTCCAGCTCCAGGGTCATCAGCTCCAGCGCCTCCAGCACCACCAGCTCCAGCAGCTCCAGTACCTCCAGTACGAGCACCTCCGGGACTAGCAGCTCCAGCACCTCCAGCACCTCCAGTAGCTCCAGCACCTCCAGCACCTCCAGCAGCTCCAGCAGCTCTAGCACCTCCAGCACCTCCAGCACCTCCAGCACCTCTAGCACCTCCAGCACCTCGAGCACCAGCAGCACCTCCAGGGCCAGCAGCTCCAGCACCTCCGGGACCTCCAGCTCCAGCTCCACCACCAGCTCCAGCAGCTCCAGTACCTCCAGTAAGAGCACCTCCAGATTCAGCAGCTCCAGAACCTCCGGTACCTCCAGCTCCAGCTCCTCCAGTGGCAGGGCCTCCAGCTCGAGCAGTATCACTCCGAAGGCGGGTGCGCTGAGCAAACCACTCGCGCAGCTGCTGTGGTGAGAGAGGCTCCCGCCGGGACGAGGCACCCGGAGTACCTCCAGCAGGGGCATTACCCCTAGGCTCAGCACCTACAGCACCTCCAGGACAAGCAGCTCCAGTGCCTCTAGCTCCAGGGCCTCGAGTGGCTGTGTCTCCAGCGACAGGCCCCCCCAGCTCCAGCAGTGCCACTCCGAAGGGGGGTGCGCCGAGCAACCACTCGCGCAGCTGCAGTGGATAGAGAGGCTCCCGCTGTGACGATGCACTTGCAGGACCTCCAGCAGACACAGCACCTCCAGGCTCAGCACCCCCAAACGCAGCACCCCCAGGCTCCGCACCCTCAGGCTCAGCACCCCCAGGCTCAGCACCCCCAGGCTCCGCACCCTCAGACTCAGCAACCCCAGGCTCAGCACCCCCAGGCTTCGCACCCTCAGACTCAGCAACCCCAGGCTCAGCACTCCTAGGCTCTGCACGCTCATGCTGAGCACCCCTAGCAGCACCTCTCCCAGCAACACCAGATTCGATAGCTACCTCGACAGGCTCAGCCACGAGGGGGGGATCTACCTGAGACAAACCTGAGGGAGCAGGACCCTGAGGGGGGAGGGGGTCGACCGGAGGGGGACCTGGAGCGAGGAAGAGCGGCGGGGGGGGGAGAGGGGCAGTGCGGTAGGGAAAGAGACGGTAAAAGGGAACTGACTCGTCAAACGTGACGTCCTGAGAGGGGAAGACACGACGCGTGGTGGGGTGGTAAAACTGCCAGCCAGACGCGTCAGGGGGAAAGCCAAGGAAGACACAGGGAATGGCGCGGGAGGAGAGCTTGTCTGCGGAAGTATCACGGACAAAGGCACGACATCCCCGGACCTGGAACACTGACGCATCGCCAACCTCCCCCGTCCAACGCAGAGTGGGCGAGGTCTCCGACAAGGAGACACGGGGCCAGAGGTTGAGCTGATGCGCATCGTATTGGACTGCAAACGGCCACAGAAAATGGGGAGCAGCCGCATGGATCATGGAGGTACGAGCGACCTCCATGACTAAGCCAATGCGGCGCTCAGCAACCCCATTCTGCTGCGGAGAGGCCGGAAGCGTGAACGTCTGGCGGATGCCCTTCCCATGACAAAAGTCCCGCAAGAGGTCGGAGGCGAACTCACCACCTCCAACAGAGTGCAGACGCAGGACAGGAAGGTCCGAGTGGAACCGCTCGCGAAGCTGGAGACGGACAGCGCGGATCCAAGGGATCAAGACATCAGGGACCTCCCCCTTGCTGCGCAAGGGGAAGACCGTGGTGTAACGCGGGTAGTCGTCAACAACCAGCAGGAAGTATCGCCCGCAGCCCTGTCCACAGACGCGGGCTGGGCCCCACACGTCCATGTGAAGAGTCTGCAAGGGAGCCTCTGTCGGGGGAAACGAGGAGGAGTGAGGAGCGGCGCACTGCCGCCCCTCGACGCAAGGAAGGCAGAGCGGGGCAGACGAGCGCGGGAGGGCAGGCAGAGACCTGGGAAGACCGGAGACAAGGAAGCGGGAGTGCATGCCACGGAGGCGTGGCAGGGAGGGGTGACCAATGCGGTGGTGCCAAAGGAGAGTCTGGTGCGACAGGAGGCGACACGAGCAGGGGGCTGCTACCGGACCGGACGCGGACGTAGACGCATCTACCTGAGGAGGCTCAGTAGTCAGTGTGTATAGACTCGACCCAGGCCGACAGGTGAACGTGGCCAGGTGACGGCCCATCTGTGTACACGTGCAGATCGACACACGCTGACCCCCGGGAGTAAAGGTATCAACCATCGCATCCTGGAGGGGAGCGGTACTCACCAAGTTCGTAGAGAACGAGGGGAGGTGAAGACCTGAGAGTGAGCCGGACGGAACCGCCGGACACGGGAGAACAGTGGTGGAACGGGCAAGAACTGGGCCCCCTGAGGGGTCAGGCAGTCTAACAGCAACGGGTGCAGAGAGTGGTGTGACCATGGTACTGTCGCGAAAGAAACAGCGGGAATCACCTGAGTCAAGCGTGAAGGTGTGCAAGGCCTCAGCAGGCGCAGTACCAGAGAGAGCAGACTCAATAGCACATAGAGCAGCAGCCTCTATATATGGGTCAGGAGGCATATACAGGTAACAGTCACCCTCAGCACGAACAGTCAATGCATACATGGCAGCAAGGATAGCATCTTAATCAAGAGCAAAGATATCCACACCCTGCCTAAGCAGCTCTGCCATGCGGGGGAGCTCAGTCACGTCGGGAAACTCTGCGCGAAAGGCGTCGTCAAGACGGGAGAAGCAGTGGTACTGGGTATGAAGCTTCCCGCATGTCTGACCAGCGCAGCCACCTGTGCAAATGACATACGGGCAGCGAACACTACCCTCAGACGCCCCACGCTGAGCAAACCAGTGACGAAGCTGCTGGGGCAAAGGAGTCTCGCTCGGATGCTGATGGTGCTGCCTCTGGCCAGTGCCAGAACCTCCCCTCTGAACAGCTCCACCCCGACCGCCACCACTGCTCCCGCCACCACTCCCACTGCCGCCACCACCGCCGCCGCCGCCAACCCCACTGCCGCCACCACCGCCGCCACCACCGCCGCCACCAACGCCTCCACTCCCACCACCACTCCCACCGCCACCACCGCAACCTCCACCTCCTCCACCGCCCCCACCACCGCCTCCACCGCTGCCACCCCCGCCACCCTGGCCTCCCTTGCCCCTGCCGTCGCGGCGCCTCCCACTAGGAGCAGACGCAGCCCCGACCTCCTCAGCACGAAGGAAGTCAACAACAGCAGCAGAAGCGACAGAGGGGACAAGGGGGGAGGGGGAACACCCCTCAAAGAAGGGAGTGCAAGGAGTGCCACGAGAAGCGCCTACAGCTACTATGCTGGTCTCAGCTGCAAGGAGGTTCTTCTCGAGTAGGTCGACAGTGAGGTCTGTAGGGTCAAGAGCGAGAAGGAGGTCCCTGACTGCGCTAAGAGAGTCAAGGAGGCGGGTGACGATGTAGTAGAGCGTGATGTACATGGGAGGAGCTTGGCTAGAAACTCGGCAGGAAGCGCGACACGGTAGCGAGTGTCACTAGTGCGAAAGTGAGTGACGAGGTTGGCGACTGTGGCAAAGGCGGACAGCTCGGGGAACAGGTAGGGCAATATAAGGCGGCCTAGAGCAGCAGTGGCCGGGGAGGAGTAACGAGCGACTACAACGTCGTACAGGGCTCTAGCAGTCTTGTGCTGGCCAAAGTGAGCGCGTTTGGCTTACGGCAGGTGGTTGCGAACGGCTAGGCGAGCAGCAGCGTCACGGGTAAGCCACTGTGAGCGAGTCGCACTGTCAGCTGTGTCGGGAGGGGCGAGAGAGGTGCCAGACATGAGGTCAAACAGTGAGACACCGTCCCTAGAGTCGCTCAGTAAGTACAGGTGCACGTCATCTAGCCACGCGTCGAACTGTATCGGACGGCCCTCTGCATCGAACGAGAGTACACTGAGAGTAGCCATCGCAAGCAAAGCAGTTGGGTGCGCTAGCAGCAGCGCAGCACCCAGGCAGTGCAAAGCAGGGCGGCGGCCAGCAAGGTGGGGCGCGCAGGCAGATCAGGGCGACGCGGCGGCTAGAGGCGCGCGGGCAGGGCAGGGCAGCGCGGCGGCGAGCGACGCGCGGGTAGGGCAGGGCAGGGCATGCGCGGGCGGCGCGACGCAGAGCAGGGCGCGCGCGGGCGGCGCGACGCAACGCAGGGCAGAGCGACGCAGCGGCGGACGGCGCTCGAGCAAGGCAGGGCGGCGCGGCGGCGAGCAGCGCGCGGGCAGGGCGGTGGCGCGGCGTCGAGCAGCGCGCGGGCAGGGCGGCGGAGCGGCGGCGAGCAGCGCGCGGGCAGGGCGGTGGCGCGGTGGCGAGCAGCGCGCGGGCAGGGCGGTGGCGCGGCGGCGAGCGGCGCGCGGGCAGGGCGACGGCGCGGCTGCGAGCAGCGCGCGGGCAGGGCAGCGGCGCAGCGGCAAGCAGCGTGGGGGCAGGGCGGCGGCGCAGCGGCAAGCAGCGCGCGGGCAGGGCGACGGCGCGGCGGCGAGCGGCGCGCGGGCAGGGCGACGGCGTGGCGGCGAGCGGCGCGCGGGCAGGGCGACGGCGCGGCGGCGAGCGGCGCGCGGGTAGGGCAGGGCAGAGGCGCGCGCGGGCGGCACAACGCAAGGCAGGGCGCGCGCAGGGCGGCGCGACGCAGGTCAGGGCAGGGGAGTGCGACGCTAACAGGGCGGCGCGACGTGTGGGGTAGCGCGATTCGGTGGGCCCTAAAAAAAAACCGGGCTTAGGAGAGGACCTGCTCTGAAACCATGTCAGAAAGTGAAAGCGAGAATGAAATGAACTAGCAGCAGGATGGGTACAAGTACTAACCCTAATTGGGTTGTACCCCATATGGGCTACACCACTAAAGCCTATACAACATGCAACATATTAGTTTGACAGTTTGCATGTTTGGCACTTAAGTATTCGCTCATGCCTTCGCTCATACTTT